CAGGTTATGTGTTATTTCATGAAAGTTACGAAAACAATGACGAAAAACAAATCATAAATAGACTACGATTACAAAACATTTTCAAGTTATTTTTGACTTTATTACAAACTATATAAATATAATAAAAACAATTAAAACAAATTAATTGAATAAGTCTAACGCAGCTTTCACCTCGTTGATATGATGCACATGGACTGCCCAGTTAGATTAAATTAAATAAGGAAAGTCGCTTTAGTCTTGATTTGTTTTGAAGTTGTAACGTATCAAACACAACACGTTTATGGCACAAAATGTTAAACCACATTTTTTATTTGTTATTGTCAAAACCATCCACGCACTCTTTCCTCTCCTCGCCATGTCAAATCCACACTCTCTCGCCATTATTTATATCACCTCCTCATTTGTTCACACATATATAAATACCAGTTTTATAAGTTTAAATACTCTTTTTGAAAAGACGAATTATTTTCCAATCAAAGTAGTTTTGAATATTTTTTATCAAAAATCCCATATTTTTGTATTAAAGAAAGGCTCATTTTTTAAAGTTTGTAATATTGATGTTTCCATAACAGAATTTAAAATTGTAAACAACCACTTTTTCTAAAATTAAAAACAACAAATTGTTTAAAAGGAAACAATGTGAATTGCAATAGAACTGATAATTGTTTTTATACTTATTTGATATTATAAGTTTCATTATTTTTATTTATTATTGAAAAACAAAAGAAGAAAATACAGATCTCAATAATATGATATTTTTTAATTAAATAACCAAAATAAACTAGATGTTATAAAAACAAATCATTTTGTCGATAAAATAAATTATATCTCTATTAATATCACTTCTAATTTTTAACATTTCAATTATTTTTGTTAATTTTTATCGCAAAGTTTTTTATTAAATAATTATAAAAAACAAATTATAAAAAACTCCAAATAAAATAAATTTATAGTTAAAATTAATTAAACCAATACCATCTTAAATTAAAATTGTTTAAGAATCATTCTCATTGTCGACTTTTCGAGGTTTCTTCCCTTTGTTGACTTTCTTTTTGGTTTCCTTTGAGACTCTATCGAGTCGCTCTTTTTCAAGACGGCGCTTTTTTTATTTGAGTGTTTTCAAGAGAAATACGTTTGGGTTCTTTTGTTTCTTTTGGGGTCCCCGTCTTTCCCAAGAATTTAGAGGCTTCTCTTGCTGAATTTATTTCGATTCTTATAACACCATGAATCAAATCGGATGGGTTATAATAAGGATTGATTTTTAAAGCTTTTTCTATTTCCTCTTGTGTTGGTTTTTTCACAGCCACTGTGATTCCAGCCTGAGAAAATGCGCTTGTAACATTGTCCCCATTTGCAACCACTTCCCAAGAATAGAGAATTTCTTTAATTCTTTCTTCTTCTGAAAGGTTCACAAAACCTTTCAAAAGATTTTTAAAATCGGGAGAATCCATTTTTAGAATATTTCCGACTTTGTGCTCAAATTTCCCCTCTTTTCTTTAACTCAATTTGTGCTGCATCAACCCATTTTTGTTTTGTAAAAACACCTTTTCTATCCCAAAAATTCCCAAGTCTAAAGGCTGACACAGATGAGAACTATGGGCAACTTCTTTGATCATTTCGACGTGATTTTCTAAAAATAGATCTTCTATTTGTTTAGAAAAGTGACCAGAGAATCCATCGAGAATTAAGTATCCTTTCGTATCCGATCTAACTCCCATTTGCTCTCTTTTTGCCTTAATTGTTGGGAAAAAGACTCTTTTTAGCCCAAGCGTGTAAAGGTCTGTTGTCAGCATACCGGATTGTTGTGTTCTAATATAGCTCTTCACTTAAATAGCAGC